TTTTTCCTCTTGTGTCGACGTCCTGGCTGCAGGGTATATAACGACGGGGGTGCTGTTCAGTGCTCGGCGTTGCATGGGCGGGGCGCGGGGTGGACGGGTTGCGCGGGGGGCGTGCTTTTGCGTCTTGCGTCCACTTACTACTTGAGCTCCCCGCCTTTCTTTTATGTTCGAGCAATTTCGTGAAATAAGATTTCCCGCCTGTGGGAAAACAATGGAGTGGCCGTGTTGGGCGGGCGGGCAGCGGGGGCGGGGCGGTCGAGATTCGTACAGTTGGATATTACGTCGCGCGGGCGGAACTCGCGAGGGCGCAAGGGAGAGAATTAAATAAGAAAACGGACAAGAAGAGAAAAGGAGCCCGCCGCCGCGGGGCGAAGGAGAATAAGAAAAGAAAAAAATATTTTTGTGAAAAAAAAATCATCGCAGAAAACAGGACACGACGCCACGACGGCGAAATAAGCTCAACTTTGTGAAGGAGACATTTACATATTAAAGACCGCGAGCGAGTTGCCCAAATAAACAGGAATAATTTAGTGGACTTTTGGACATGCCGTTGTCCGACTCGTGTATTCCTTCCTGCGCGCTATGTTCCTCTTCCTCCTATTTTTTCCCCCTTCGCGTACGCGCCGTTTGTGCCGGCAGCATTGTCTCACTGCGACGACTGTAAGAACGAGAGGGGCGCACACAGCAGCACCGCTCTCTACTCTCTATCTCTCTCCCTCCCTCTCTCTCTCTCGCTGCGATACAGGGAAGCGTGGAATATTATTAAATCAGAGCGTGAGTTTGCGCGACCAGCCGATGTGAGCATGCAGCAGATAGCGGGGGTGCAATCATTGAGAGTGAGACCGTCGCCTCGCCTCACCCCGCCGCGGCACGGGCCGCCCGCCCGGGCCCCGCGCCCCGGCAGCGGAACCAATGTGTTATGTGCGGCGCACACGCGCCACCGCGATGTGACTCCAGCGCATGTCGCCGACGAGACTTTTCCAGCGTGTCTCCTCCAGCTGCAGCATAAGACTTTTTCATCAAAAGATGGTCTCCTCCAGCAAGTTCTCCCATACGGCTTCTTCAGCCAGCAGCCAAGCCAGCCACCGCCAGCATCATTCTCCTACCCATGTCTCCTTCTTAAAAATGACTTTAGAATTGTCTCTAGTGAACACCTTTGTGAAAATTACCTTTAACTGGCATTTCCCATCTCTCACGGATTCCCTCCGGTAAACTCTCACAGTTAACGTCCTAATCTTGTGATGTTTTTTTTTAAATACGGAAACGAAACAACATGTTTCGTGGTAGATATTTTCTGCCATATTACATTGGCTGATTGTGTTCTCCAAAAGCTTTCTCTGAGCATCTCTGGAGATATTAATTTAATTCCCCCGCAGTGATCCTGCCCCGTCCGGCCCCGGAGCCGGAGCCCCACTCTGGTCCTGCCTGCACGGCTGCGTTTGGGCGCTCTCCGGCAGATGGTCATAAATTCCACGATCATTCTGTCGGCCAGACGCGGGCGTTCGTTCGTTCTCTCCCGCGCCCGCTGGCCTGCAACCCGCTTCGCATCAGATTTCTCTTTTTCTTCCAATTCCGCTGTCTCCTCTCTTTTACCTTTTTTTTCCCCCTGCTGCTCCCCGGACTCTCGCCTTTCTAATGCCTATTTCTTTTTTCCCCATTCGCGTCGCCGGCGGAGTGACTTATTGCGATCCGGGGCGCCGCCATTTATGAAAGGGCTTTCGGCTCTCCTCGGGATTATTTACAAGCTTTCGGCCCCGGACGATGGCGCGTCGGCGTCCACCGCCTTACCGACTGGCAATTAGACGGAGAACACACAAACAAAGCAGAAGGCGCTGATCGGAAAGAACAACTCGCAGGGAAAGAGGGGGCGAAAAAAAAAGCGCCCGCGGATTTTGCCTTTTTCGAGCTCAGCAGTGATAGCGGGTGCTTACCCACGCTGCCACGACCTGACCCCGCCTCCGTACAACACGAAACAACATCATCATTTTGTTCTCGCTCGTGGGGAAGCCCCCCCCCCCTTCTCTCTCCTTTTCTCCCTCTCTCTCACCCATGTGGCCTCGGGGTGCGTGCGACGAGGACGGGAACAAGGTGACGGAACTAATCAGGCATTACACGGCGGCGGTGGCGACGCGGAGGGGAGAGGGTCGGCCCGGGTCGGCCCGGGTCGGCCGCCATTGGTCACGGGAGGGGCCGCGGGCCGCGGGGGTGGCGCCCTGGCCCGGCCGCCCCGTGGCGTGGGAGCTGCTGCTGGGGAGCACGGGCACGGCCTTGGGCACGGCAGCGCGCGGAAACGATCTGTTTCTTTGGACGCGCTTAAATGCAAATAGCGCTGTTGGTGGCTTTGGTCACGCATCCGCTCTGCTCCGGCCAGAGAGCAATATTGCTCGCGAGGGATCGATTTATCGATCAGTGCACCATTTTGTCAATCTCTGCGCAGCAGCAGAGTTCACCTCGATAGTTTTGATAATTGAAAAATGTTTTTAGTTTCCTTTATTAACACAAAAAACAAAATCAGTACAAAATTTTACAATTAATTTTTTTGTGTTTTCCAGCATTTGCGATTTTAAAAAAAGTGAATTCCACGCCGGATGTTATCAACAAATGACAGCAGCGCATCGTCATCTGAAAGCAAATAAAAAATTACGATATATACACAGTCTAAAACGCACTCTGCTGCAAAACTTTTCGTCGTGGATAAAACACATCTCCAACACGCTCCCTGAATATTGCAGTGGCGGGGTGCTGCTGTGGCAGAGGGAGGTATGGCGCCATGGAGATGAGAGTCCCTGACAGCACGGTGCGAGCCGACTTATCCCCCCCCCCCCCCCCTCCCCCCGCCGGCCTCTGCCACACCACCGCCGCCACCACGGCCATCACGGCCTCTGCCCCTTGCCGAGCAGGAGGATGGGGAGCCGTGGCGTTGCCGCGGCGGCAGCCAGGAGGAGAGCAGAGGCCAATAAAAATGGAGACCACCTTATCTGGCCGGAACATGTTGGCCCCGGGAAGGAGGGGCGTGGCGCGGCGCGGCGGGGCGACTCCAGACTGTGCTTAAACTATATTTTATACAATGGGCGGGGAGGGAGGGTGAGAGGGAGTGGAGGAGGGACAGAGAGAGAGGAGGAACGCAATCCTCGCGAAAAATATGTGAACTTTGGTCATCTGCTGGAATAGAGTTGTTATTATTATGATGAGGCCGAGGCGCGAGGCGAGAGATAGAGGGGCAAAGGGGAGGGAAGGTGGGGGAGG